TAATAGAGTTATTTAGTCCTATTTTAAATTGGTAGTTAAGAACCTTCCCAAAAAGAAAACTCCAGGCCTCGATAACTTCACTGGAGAACTCTACAAAATATTTAAAGATGAAATGATGCCAATTCTACATAAATTCTTCCAGAGTATAGAAAAGAACATTTTCCAATTGATTTTTATGAGGCCAGCATACTCTCTACCAATAGCTGACAAAATTAAAAGAGGAGGAAAAAAAACCTATAGTCCCCTCCAAAATTCAGCAATATTAAAAGGACAGTATATCATGATCAAGTTGTGTTTATCCCAGGAATTAAGTTTTTTTTAATGTTTTAAAATCAGTCAGTGCAATTCATCATATTAGTAAGAGTAAAATAGAAGAACCATGTCAATAGAGAATACATATTTGACAAAATTTGACACTCACTTGAGTTTAAAATTCTCAGTAAACTAGGAATAGAAGGAAACTTTCTCAACCTAATAAAGGACATCTACCAAAAAAATGTATTGGTAACCTACATAATGTTGAAAGACTGAATACCTTTTTACTAGGATTGGGAATAAGGTGGGGATGTCTGCCCTCATGTAATGTTCAATTCAATTTTATACTAGAGAACCTCATCAGTGCAATAAGGTAAGAATAAGAGATTAAAGTCATACAGATTAGAAGGGAAGAAGTAAAAATGTCTATAAAAAACATGATTATATATGTAGAAAATCCTAAAGACTCTGAAAAAGAGTAATTAGAACTAATCAATTTGGCAAAGTTGTAAGATAAAAAGTCAATATATAAAAATCAACTGTACTTCCAGTACACCAGCAATGAACACTTGGAAACTAAATAATAGCATCCATAATAGCTTCAAAATTATGAAATACTCGGAAAAATTTAACAAAATATGTCAGTATCTGTACACTGAAACTACAAAATAATACTGAGAACTTTAAAACACCTAAATAAATTATATTTATGAATATTTATGAATTGAAAGACTGATACTGTTAATTTGTCAATTCTTCCCAAATTGATCTGTAGATTCAACACGGTCCCAATCCCATAGAAGGATTTTTTTTTGTAGAAATTGATAAGCTGATATTAAAATTTATATGGAGTTGCAGAGGACTTAGGACAGTCAAATCAATTTTGAAAAAGAACAGTGTGGGGGACTTATCCTACTTGATTTGAAGAATTCTTATAAAGCTACAGTAATAAAGACAGTATGGTATTGGATTAAGGGTAGATATAGACCAATGGAACAGAACAGAGAATTAAGAAATAGAAATAGAGCATGTGGTCAGTTTTTTTTTTATCTAAGGTACCAAAATAAATCAATGAGGAAAGGATAATCTAACAAATGGTACTGGAACAATTTGACGTCTATATGCAAAATAAATTAACCTTGATCCTTACCTAAAAAAATTCACAAAAATAAACTTGAAAAATGTTATGAGTTGCATTGTGATCCCCCACCCCCTGTTCATATGCTGAAGTCCTACCTCCAGTACCTCAGAATGTGACCTTGTTTGGAAATAGGGTCATTGTGGATATAATTAGTTAAGATGAAGTCATACTGGAGTAGGGTGGGCCCCTAATCCAGTATCAATGATGTACTTATAAAAGGGAAAATTTGGACACAGGCAGTCACATAGCGGGAATGCCGTGAGAACATGAAAGCAGACATCAGAGCGATGCCTATAAAAACTAAGGAACACCAAAGATTGCCAGTAAATCACCAGAAGCTAGAGGGGAGGCATGTAACAGAGTCTCTCAGTGTTTGGAAGGAACCAGCCCTGCTGGCACCTTGATCTGGGTCTTCTAGCATCTAGAACTATAAGACAGTAAATTTCTGTTGTTTAAGCCATTCGGTTTGTGGTACTTTGTTATAGCAGCCCTTGCAAATTAATACAAAAAGGACCATAGACCTAAGGATAGAGCTAAAGCTATAAAACTAGAAGAAAACATAGGAGAAAAACCTTTGACTTTGGGTTAGACCCAGGTTTCATAGAAAAGTCATAAAAGCAAGAATTATAAAATAACAATTGATAAGTTAGACTATCGAAATTAACTATGTTTTTAAGAAATGCTGTTAAGAAAATGAAAAGGCAAGCCACAGACTGGGAGAAAATATTTACATAATCATATATATTTGATTAAGGACTTGTAGCCAGAATATATTAAAAAAAAAAAAATGCTCTTACAACTCAGTAATAAGACAATGTAAGTAATATTTGGAAAATATTTAGACAGTCACCAAAGAAGCAATACTGATGGCACATAAGCACATTAAAAGGTGCTCAACCTCAGTAGTCATTAGAGAAATACAAATTAAAATTACAATGAAATATTACTTACTTACTAGAGTTGTCTCAAACTGTTCCAAGTGTTGGTGAGAATGTAGGACAATGAGAACTCATACAATGCTAGTGGGAGTACAAAATAGTATAGTTACTTTGGAAAACAGTTTAAGTTTCTTATAAAGTTAAAGACATATTTACTAAAAGAGCCAGCTATCCCATTTTCTATTTACACAAGAGAAATAAAAACATGTTCACAGAGAAACTTGTATTTAGAGGTTCAGTACAGCTTTGAAAGAAGCCAGACATAAAAGAGAATATACTGGGAGAGGGAGGAGGGGGAAAATTTTTAAAAAATAAAATGTTTAAAAAAAAAAAGTATAACATTGGCACTGGAATAAACAGATTTAGAGAACAGAAAAAAAAGTATATACTGTACAATCCTATTTATATGAAATTATTGAACAGCTAAACTCTGGTAACATAAAGTAGATCGACGGTAGACAGGAGCTGTAAATGGGGAGAGAGCATTGACTGTAAAGGGGCAGGTGGGAACTTTCTAAGGTGCTTAATATTTTTTTCCAGCTTTACTGAGATGTAATTGACATATAACATTGTGTAAGTTTAAGGTGTAAAACCTATCGATTTGACACAATTAAATATTGCAGAATGATTACTATAGTAGCATTAGTTAATACTTCCATCACTTCACATAATTGCCATTTCTTTTTTGTGTTGTGAACATTTAAGATCTACTCTGTTACCAGCTTTCAAGTAGACAATACGGTATTGTTAACTGTACTACCATGCTGTACATTAGATCCCCAGAACTTATTTATCTTATAACTAGAAGTTTGTACCCTTTGACCTTCATCAACATTGTTCCACTCCTACCCCCCAGCCTTGGCAGCCACCATTTTAGTCTCTTCCTATCTGCACTCGCAGATATCATTTTGAGACCCTGATTTTATTTCCTTTGGATACATGCCAGAAGTAGAATTCCTGAATCATATGGTAGTACTATTTTTAATTTTTTGAGGAACCTCAATACTGTTTTCCATCATGGCTATACCCTTGCCAGCTCTTGTTATCTCTTGTCTTTTTAATAGTAGCCATTCTAACAAGCGTGAGGTGATATCTCATTGTGCTTTTGATTTGCATTTCCCTGATGATTAATGATGTTGAGCACCTTTTCATGTACCTGTTGTCCATTTGTATGTCTTTTTTGGAAAAATGTCTATTTAGTTCCTTTGTCCATTTTTTTAATTGGGTTCGTGTTTTGCTTTTCTACGTTTTTTATAGATTTTGGATGTTAATCCCTTTTCAGATATATGGTTTGCAGATATTTTTTCCCCATTTAATAGGTTGCCTTTTCATTTTGTTTATAGTTTCTTTTATTGTGCAGAAGCTGTTTAGTCTGACGTATTCATTCTTATTTATTTTTACTTTTGTTGTTCGTGCTTTTGGTATCATATCAAAAGTGTTGTCAAGACCAGTGTCATGGAGCTTTTCTCCTATGTTTTCTTCTAGAAGGTTTGTGGTTCTAGGCCAAAATTTCTTTATCATGATTGTAATGGTGGTTACATGACTATATACATTTGTCAAGACTCATTGAATTATACACTTAAAATTGATGAATTTTATTTTTGATATATTATACCTCAACAAAGAAATGACCGTAAACTGAAAGTCTGCTGCCTGTCAAGTGCTGTGTTAGGAATATGATTAGATAAATGTGATATGTATCCTTTTTCTAGGGAGCTCACAGTCTATAGACATAGTGTAGAAAGATTTTTGTAGTTCAGAAATAAGAGCCCTATAGAGAAGTATATTTGCTGAGGTACGAAGGAAGGAGTTCTTGATCAGGGAAAACCTCACAGAGGAGCTGCTTGACCTCTAGTGTGATGGGTGAACAGGAGTCAGATAAGTGTTGAGGGGAAGGGCATTCCAGGCAAAGGCATGTGGGTGTGAAACTGCATGTTATGTCTTATAAGCCACCAGGAGTCTAGTATTGTTGGAGCCCTGGAGCTGTGAGATTTATGTTGAAATGGCAAGAGTTGAAGCTGGACAGGTTGTCAGAGATAGCAAGTGAAATGTTTCTTGGATTTGCTTATCAAACTCGTATTGCAAGAGAAATAATGTACTTGAGAAAGAAACCCTCTCTCTTGGATAAGAGATGAGATAATCAGTGCATCCATTCATGTTTCTTCATTCCTTTGCTTTTGATTTAAAAAACAAAACAACAAAAACCTTGCTTTTATAATCAGCTATTTTAAAATACTAATTTTTCCTGGACTGACCTCAGCTGAATTTGTATAATTAAGGCTATATTGAGCTTTCACATGTTACAGTGAGGAGATATGTTTTAATGTTTGAGAAAGCCTTTACCACTAGCCATCTGGGAGAACTGCTGAGGTTTGCTGGATGTGGCATGTGCCTTCAAGCAGATACCAGTTTCTTTTTACCAACAGAGAAAAGTACAAAATCTCCCTCACGTTACATTTTGGAAAGGAGAAAACCTGAAACTGCTTATTGGTTTAACTCCATATATATGAAATTCTTGAATGTCACTCTCTATCCTTGGAGTGATGCAGGGAAATGTATGTATGTGTATGCATCGTGGGAACAAGCACACAGGATTTTGATTAACAAGTGGGACAACTGACTTTGAAGACCTGCTCTAACATTCAGTGCTTTCTCATATATTACAGGCAGTGGATTTTGAAGGTTGGGCTGACACCCTCTTTCTTCTGCAGTTCACTCTCTCTTGTGTGATGGGGTAAGCCTTTGCTGTCTTGTTAGCAGATAGTTTTCCTAGCAAAATGTGCTCTAGGGTCCTTTTGTCTCATTCCTCATTCCCATTCTGTCTCTTTAGTGTATCAACTTAGGATAGTTAAATCTTCAGATTCAGGTAGTTCAGTAGCCCTTAGGAATGTGCCCTGAGGGCAACTAAACTGAGCCCAAAGTCATGCTTAGAAGGATGGAAAAAAAACAAACTAATTTTATCCAATAATCTAGTACATGATAAGCATCATTATATTTTGGCATTATTTTTCACCATTTTATTTTGTGCATTATTTTATTTTATTTCTATGTTGACCATTTGGCAGATATTGTTGTCCTTTTACCTATGAGAAAGCAGATTCAGAACTCAAGTAAATTGTCTAAGTTTTCACAATTTGTAGATAGTGGTGGCAGCCCTTGAATTTGGAACTGTTTGACTCCTAACTAGGTTGTCTTCCTCTTAGAAGAGTATATGTAGAAGGCTAGAGGGTGTCGGCAAATGAGCCTTTTCTCTTCACCTCCATATTTCCTAATGTATTTTGTCTTCAGTCAGTTCAGTTCATATTTATGACTGGATCTGGCATAGGCTCGGTGCAGAGTGAGTGGGTGCTTCAAAATAAAATTGATATGCTGCCTTAGTACTGAGCACTTAGTACTCGGAAGCCTCATTGTAAATCTGGGAGCTCCAACTGCTGCCACTTAGTTGTTAAGTGAACCTGTGTCCCCTATTAAAGTAGTTCTGATTTGTTTTCCTTCCATCCTTAAGAATCCCTCTTATCTTCACCCTGGTTCAAAGATCATGTTGTCCTAATGGGAAGTTCACACCTGAGCCAGGGTTTTTATGAGCACAGACCTTTCTGTCTAGATTAGGTGAATTAGTAGGAATATGATCTAAAGAGAGTACTCATTATGAATGATGGTATCAGGGTTTTGGTAAAGGTAGCTGGGGAAAACGCCTCGTCAGTAAGTGGACATGTGGTTCTTTTTACTGAAATTTTTAAAAATCTGAAGCTGCAGGACAAGCAGCGGTGAGGTAGGGAAGGTCAGTCAGTTATTGAGTAGAATGTGCTAGAATGGCTAACATTGATTGTTTCTCTTGGCTAGAGATTATTATAAAAGTAAGCAACTACATCTTATAAGAGACCTCTTTCTTCTTCATTCCAGGTTTATCTTGATGTATGCCACAGTACTCTGCACTCAGTATAATTCTGCTCTTACAACTACAATAGTTGGGTGTATTAAGGTGAGTTGAGAAAACTCTGTTATCTTTTGGGTACCTGCTTTATTTGAAAGCTATTCCTCTAAAATAAGTCTGGTTATGGCCTTCAGCCCCATAATCCTTATTTCCTTGAATATTTTTTTGATAGTTTGACAAATTGTGGTGATGGTTTCTGAAATAGTCTTTAAGAACTTGGGGAGGGCATAACCTCTAGTTTCAGGCAACTTAGCTGTGAGGAATATAGGAAAAGGAAAATATGTTAGAGTAGAGGAAGAAGGACTAGGCCTATTTCTGACAGGGCAGATGACTAGCTCAGTAGTGAGAGGCCTGTCCCTTAAACCCTTAATGAGAACTGTTCTGTTCTCTGCCTCACCGAGTTCTGGCTGTTTTGCAGGGCGAGGATGCCTGCCAGAAGCTAATCAAGGGAGTTTTCCTATGAGTGAGCCAAACCATAAATGGCCCACTTTTAAAAGCTGTGTCTAACATTTCCAGTGATGTCATTTCCCCCTGATCCATTTTATTTGAAGGAGTCTCATCTGTCTTCAGCCAGGAGAGTCAAGCTGCCTTGAATATTGAACTAAAGTTAGTGGCTTGAAGCCTGAGTCCTCTTTCATCCGATTTTGTGATTCTAGTGCTTTAAGATCCAGGAGGCCATAGCATGCCTGAATTCCAAATGAATTAGCAAGGTAGGCTTGCTTTCTTTAAAAAAAAGGTAAAACAGAAAGAGGTAGAGTTTTAGATCATTTAGGGAAGAGTGCAGTTGCCCTTGGGACTTCTTTATGATCCTCTGTTTATCAGTAGTGAGAGAAGGGTTTACAGAGGTAAAGTTTTTACTGCTCTGCTATGTTTCCCATGGACAGGTGTCCACCTGACGTTATGTTAGAACTAGATTTGAGTTAAAACTTCAGAAAGTCTGTGACTTTAGATCATGACATTGGAGTGTTTAGTGTGAATAGAATTTTAAATTAAGCTAATAACAAGTCAGTTGTGTGAATTCCCATGAGAGCAAGAGATAGTTAATCTAGACAAGCCTTTAAGGTCTGGGCTGGCTGAGACAAATTTAGCCCCCAAATTAGCTCTCAGCTTTGTTTCATTTTTGTAAAGTAAACGCTTTAAGAGCAAAGTGGATGGCTTGCATCTTCAGAAAAAGAATAGCAAGAACATGAGAGACAGGGCAGTTTGTACCGTGTTTTTAGCCAAGAAGAAGGATGGTACAGGAAAGCCTATGTTTAATTTTATTAACTAAATCTACTTGCTTAGAATTTCTTAGTGTACTTTATCATTATCAGCATGGGGTACAAATAAAGTCATGCTCTCATTAATATAAAGTCCAGTACTTTTCTTTTGATATTTCCTCCTCCCTATAGAACCCTATGGATTTAGTCCAAAGAAATCAGTTTTACTTCTAGAAGGAGGGAAAAAACTGGGTTGTCTGATTAGTTAGCAGTCACTTTGCTTCTCACTGCTATGTGGAATCGCTGTTGAAGATTGTCTTATACCTTCCAACAGATGGGAGTACGCTGATGCCCTTGCTGTTTCAGAGTCCCACAGACCACAGTGGAGCTTCTTTCATTAGCCTCCCAGTTAAAACCCTTTTAACTCAGTCATTGTTCCAAAAGAGGCTTTAATCATCTTTCTGTGCTTGAGGATCCTAACCCTACAAACCCTTGGGTCAGCATTCCTTATTTCTTTTAAGTATGATGGGAGAATTATTTAGGATAACTAGTTAAAAATGGAAATTCCTAGGCCCACCTCAAATATACTGAATCATAATCTCTAAAGTAGAGCCTGAAAATTATCATTTTTAACAAGGTTTCCAGATGATTTTCAAAATACTAATGTTCGAGAATTGCAGGCTTAGTTTTGAGGTACCAGCAGACACTCTTCTGTGCTTCCTGGTTAGTTCTGCTTTGGGGGCATTGGTATCTTTTCCTGACAGCAAACCTTGGTTAGAATGCCCTAACGTATATTTACATTTTTCTAACTTCTGATTGGTTTTATGCAATAAGGATTGGGTTCTCTATCTTTTCCCTTTCTGAAGTTCTTTGGGTGATTTATATAGATTTATCTATCTTCTCCTTGATCTGTTTTCCAAGAGAGGTTCTATTACACATTTTCCGAAGTTGCCTACTGTGACATGTTATTTCCTTTTATCTTTTCCACTCAAATAATAAAAAGATCTGCTCTAAGGTAACTTGTTCTATCTTTAGGCTTGAAAGAGGGTGACATAATACTGAATGCTCAAACGGTACTGATTATAAATACAGTTTTGAAACACTAGGGCACTTTACTTGCTGCTTCATAGGCCTGATCTAGGAAAGCCCAGGTACTAAAAATAAAAATATTTGTGACTTTTACCGTTTATGGAAGTTTTAAAAGAGAGGGAAGAACTGAATAATAGTTTAGACTTTGGAAGATTGAATTTCACCTTTGCAGTCTGAGGATAATTAAAGAGGAGCCAGATAAGCGTGAGATGTTTACCCCTGGGAGTTTAAGGAAGTGTTAGGAGAGGTGATTTTAGATATGCTACTTTTAGATGACCTCCCAGGTGTTTTTTTTAAGAAACCAGGGACTAGTCTTCTAAAAACTCTCTTTATGTTGGTAAACTCCCCACCATCTCCTTTATCTTTTTCAAAAAAGAGAAAAATTCTTGCATATAAGCAGAATTTCCTTCTTTACTCTCCCCTTACAAGTCAACAGTTATCTTAATGGGAAGAAAAAGCATTCTTTTCTAAGATTGCTGAATGTACCTTAGTGTTTTCTACCCCTAGTAACAGCAGTGTTTCTCTACTTAGATTTATAATGTCAGCCCAGACCACAGGGCAGAGAAAGTTTGATAAATCTTGTTAGTATTTTTCAAGCTTGGTGAAAGCATTTAGTTTCTGGAGAGATCGAATGGGGAGAGGTTAATGATATGGTTTCCTTATTAGTGTCCTTGCTCTTGCTACATTCATTTTAGAATTGATGGGTCTTTGTTGTTTTCTGCTTATATGTTTTTGTATTTTAAGGATAGGTATTTGGGTCATAGCATAGATGAGTTAATATGAATATTGAAAAAGCTCAGTTAAACCTGTGTAACAGTGTATTGCCTTTTTTGTAGAATATATTAATAACTTATATTGGAATGGTCTTTGGTGGAGATTATATTTTCACATGGACAAACTTCATTGGCTTAAATATCAGGTAAGTAAAAATATTTAAATATCACTTTGACAAGTGGGATTTAGATACTCAAACTGTGTCACAGTAAGGTTGGGCTATTTAATGGCAAATTTGTTTATTTATTAAACAAACATTTATGGAATACCTGCAGTGTTCTGTATATTTAATATCTTTAGGTAATGCTTTTTAAGAAAGAGGGAGAAAATGGTTTTATTTTTTATGCACAATATTTGGGGAATCTTTTCTGGAAATTGAACTTCTTTTACTTAGCCTTCAAAGAACAGTCCTTTATTTATTTTGCTAGATGGTAGTACAGTGTTCTCAAGAAAATTCAAGGTTAGAGTATCAGCTCTGTTAGAAATGCTTTATGTATGTTTGACCTTGAACATATCACTGTATTTCTTTAGACTTTATTTATCTCCGTTGATGATGAGGGTGACTTGTATGAAAGATCTTTTTCAGCTCAAGAATTTTGAATCTCGTGGTTTTAAATACTATTTATATGCTTAAAAATTCTCAAATTTGTGTTTGGGTAGATTGCTGTCCTGAACTCAGACTTGTATGTCTAACAGCCCACCTGACATCTCTAGCTGACATGTCCAAAACTAAACTCCTTTCATTTCCTCCAAAGTCCGTTCCAGCCAAAGCCTTGCATCTCAGTTGATGGAGACTCCAACCCTCTAGACTTTCAGTTCAGAAACCTTGGAGTCATCTCGACTCTTCAATCGTATACACAACATCCAATGTGTTAGCAAATTCTCTTGGCTCTCCCTTCAGAATATAGCCATAAAAGGACCACTTCTCACCATCTGCACTGCTTCCATCATAATCTAAGCTACCAACATCCCTTGCTGCTGCCTTGTCTTCTATACTTGTCCTTGGTTTGGTTCATTCTCACCCTATCATCCCTAGGCAATTCTCATCTGAGTAGACATTGTGTTCCTTGTGAAAAGTGTCAGAACACATCACTCTTATTTTTACCCTGCACTCCTACCCTATGTCTGTCCATGTCCCAAAGTCCTGACAAAGCCCTACAAGATCTATCTCCTCTTTACCTCTCCAGTTTCAGCTCTTGCTTCTCTTCTCTCTCACCCACCCCATCCACACAGACCTCCTTGCCATTCCTTTAGAATTCTGGGCAGAATCTCACTGTAGGGCCTTGGGATAGGACGTTTCCTCTGCCTGGAACACTAACTGCCAAATATTTGCATGGCTAAGTCCTTTACACCTATATATTTTTGCTCAACTGTTACCTTTTCAAGGAAGTTTTCCCTGACTACCTTATTTAAAATTGGAGCCTCCTTTTTCATTTCTGATACTCCAAACCCTCTTATTCTGCTTTTTTATTTATCTTTTCCAGAACTTATCTCTCTCTAATATACCATATAATTTTCTTATTTATATTTATTCCCTATTTTCTATCTCCTCTGCTAGAATATAATTTCCATAAGGGTAGGCATCTTTGTCTATATTGATCATTCAAGTTTCCAAGGCTCCTAGAATGCCCAGTAGTTGCTTAATAAATATTTGCTTGATGAATTCTATATGGATTGGTGAAAAATCACTTTGGAAACATAGCTCTCTATTAGAATATGGTATTAGTATCATCTTTTTAATGTGCAGCAAATTATATAACTTCTCTGAGCTTTTATTTCTTCAAATATAAATACTCTACTTTCCTTATGGATCAATATGAGAATTTAACACTAATATTATTAATAGGTTAATAATTCATTGTTACCCCTTTGATATCTGTTTGCCACTATTGTTGTTTATCTTTTAGAGGAAAAATCATTTGTTATTTGTTGGGGTAGGAGTTTGTGGAAGGGTGAGTATATACACATATACCTAAGGATTGCATCGTATAGAACTGTTTCTTTCATTAATATTTGTGAGAAGATCCAAGATTTAAAGGAGCAACATGGTAAACCAGTTCTGACTTTGGATGTAGCCTGAGTTTCATTCATTTCTAAATATCTGGAATAAAGAATCATTATGACACAACAGAGACCTGACTCAGAGATGCCTTGGTTTTTTTGTCCCCTTCAAATAAATA